CAACTCCACTCCCGAAAGTTAAAGCAGTTCAGCATCACCATGTTTGCAAACCAGCCCTTTTGCTTCCAAGTTTTAGTGTAAAAGCACACAGTGCTGCTTTAATTACATTTTAATGCACACATTACATTACACACAGGGAGCCTTCAGCCAGTGAAGCTTTTCCACTGACCTGTATAACAAGACCTGCTCTCACAGCCAGCTGCCAACGTGCCCGAAACCACCACCCAACCCACCTGATGGCAGTACTGGAGATCACCTACTACCTTTGGTGTCACTCCCAGTTATCTGAGTTTTCTCTGAGGAAAAAGTCTGGGAACAGGTAAACTTAAAAAGAAGGCAGACATCAGATGAAATAATCTAACAGAGCTCTTGTTATTAAAAAAAAACCAAAAACCCACACACAAAAAAACCCAACAACAAACCCCCCAAAAAACAAACAAAAAACCCCAAACACACACAAAAATCAAAGAAGTGTGTTTTTAACTAAGGGACAATACCACAAATCATTATAGAAGATACTGTTGACCTTACAAACATCATGCTTGAAGTGGATGGTGTGAACCAAAAGCCAACTTTAGGTCTCCTAAGGAAGGAGAGGAGCTCAGGCATCCCAGTTCACAGCTCAGGCTTCCATTTTCTGCCTCACCTCATTTTGAGAAGAAAATCTGACAAAAGCAATGTATTATCAGGAAGCAAGGGGTTATTTACCTAACCAAATCAAGCATATTTGAGCTCCATCTGCCCTCCTGCCAGTCTGAGCTGGCACATTTCTGTGGCAGGAGACAGCATTTTCCAAAAACTGCTTGGTTGGCCCGTGTGTAAAACAGCTTTTGATGCTCGATCCTCAGCACAAGCAACCTCTGAGTTTGGACTGCAGAAACTGTCCAAGAGCCCCACCTTAAAGCAGCCTTCACCAGTTGCCAAATTAAATTGCCTTCTGTCAGGAAAAAGCCTTCCTGGAGGATTTCTGACCAACCACAATATTGAGAATATTTTTTTTTCTCCTTAATTTGCACACAGTCTAGAAAAGCTGTAGAGGTATGATATTAACTGCTTTATCATGTTCCCAACGAACAGCAGCAAAAAGGCATCACAAAACCTCTGAAAAACACAAGCTGGCACGTTATCAGAGAAAGGAGACAGAAGAATCACGTCACGCACAGCTCACCTTGACAAGGCTGACAATAAAATCAGTAAAACAAACAAACTACAAGAAAAAAAAAAAAAAAAAAGAGGGAAGAAAGAAAAGCCAGAACAAGATATGTTCATTTTCTGATAATTCATTCTAAAAGCACCATTGATTTTCTAGTAACATATTAACTCCATAGGCACAAAGAAAGGCAGTTGGTGTGAGCAGAATCAAATCAGTTGGGAGAGGGACCTGCACATTCCCTGCTGCAGGGAGAGTTGTCCCGGCACAAAGAGCCCAGAAAAACGGTGTCTTTCCCCAACCACTTCTGGCAACCACTTAAAGGCCATTCTGAAATGACTGCAATTATATTTCCAATTTCAATTGCTGGCCTAGTCATCTCCTCGTTGCAGCTCTGCCACTACAAAGCATTTGGATTATCTTAATATTGCTCAAAAGAAAAAAAAAAACACAACTGCAGCAAACTATGCAGGAGCTTCACAGCATCGAAAGAGGAGCCTGAACCATACTTGGCTAAGTAGCTGTGCTACATTTCCAGAACTTTACAAAAATTCTGTATTTAAAGGACTACAAAAAAGATTATATTTTCCTCTTGCTGAAGTATTGAAAGTGGAATGTTCTCTGCTGGAAATGAAATGGTGGGCGTTTGATGGCATATTTTAAATAGTATTCTTCTTTGTGCATGCAGTGTAATGCCACCCAAGGGGGAGATTAAAAAAAAAAAGTCTGCAATTTGCAAGTCCATTTCAAAGTCATACCGAGGATGATGTAAAATTCAGGATAGGATTCTTGAGAGAAATCTCCCTGGAAAATGTGTATGTACCTCAGGGAAGCTCTGGATTTGCTTCCCCACACTGGAAGGCTGTTCTGAAATGTCTTCTGACATTTCAATGTTGTTTAGTCTTTGCATCTAAATTCAGAATTATTCTGTGGTTTATTACAAAGGTGTATCTTTGAGGAGCAGTAAGGTATTCCTCTTCTGCATCCTCCAAGATTTATAAAAATCCCTATTTGTCTTTAATCTTTCATTGGCAGTGAGGATGTAACAGTTACTTTTGCAATAAGGGATTAATCCTGCTGTCAGATATTATGGAGGTAACAGGCATTTACACACATCTTGGCCATGGGAAAAACAGGATTGTCCACACAGGTCTGATCATTTTGAAACAACTGCAAACAATATCATGCTTTAAGGCTTTAGGTAGTCACTAGCAGGATTAGGAGGGAATACTCTCCTTAATCGACTTCTGGCTAAACGGGTTTTCTCTCTCCTTACTCTGTCGCCTTCCCTGGAGCGGTTCAGCCTGGCCAGAGATGGATCTGGGGAGAGGAAAAGGGTAAGAGAATTTTCCTGAGGTCAGATTCTCTTCCTTAGCTGCCTGAGAGGATGTTTAGATTCAAATTCATCACCAAACCCGATGCCAGAATCTTCCCCTGGGTCAGCTGAGGGAGGAGGAGCAGGGATGGCTTCGGTCTTCACTTGCAGTGCATAACACTCGGCCTGACTACAGAGAGAAGCAGCTGGATCACGTAATCACATCCCACTCACCAAAAAAGCCTGGGAGTACCAGTGACACCACAGTCCTTCCTGTCTGTCTTCCTTAGCCATGACAATTTGTACTGCAGGAGGTTGAAATGCTTCAGCCCAACGCTGAAGTCTTTAGATTTAATCTAGCATGGCACCAGAGTGAAAGGAAAATCAACCACAGAAGACCACAGCATGTACTCAAGTGAACTCCTTTTCCTCTTAAATTCTAATTAGTTTAATTCCACTTAATTTTTGCCACACATAATTTAGACAACTCTCCTTCCTCAGTCTTCCGTGTTAATTCTCCAAAGCTGTACCCTGACTGTGTCTCACTAACCACAAGGAGAGCCGTGACAACTAACTTGGACAAGAAACCTACAGTTTATACAGCTCAAAGCAGACAGATTTTGGAAAATTATGGAACCATAGGAAGGGGAAAGAAAAAAAAAGTCTCAAGTATTTTATGTTGATACTTACTGCTTCAGTGTTTGCAGATCAAAGAAAACAGTGACAGAAAAGCTCTTATGAGGATCCCTAATCCATGACACTGAGATGATTCCCCCCACCAGCAAGGCACTGGCACAGCTGTGTCTCACTGCACATCAAGAGGGGTTTTGTTTCTGGTACGAGTGACAGACTCAAATCTGGCTGTTCCTTTAGTTTGGTTTGTCCAGTTAAATGAAGATAAAAATGTACTTTGCACCAGAGAGGACACAAGGCTGTTTTTTTAACAAATACCCAGTTCCATACCATCCTCCAAACATGAGGCACAGCAGCCACAGTCAGGCTGTTACTGTGCACTTTGATCAATGTGACTTTGCAAATCCTTCAGGCCAGTAATTCTCCTCTTCTAAACTGGCATTGGGTGAGATTATTAGAACAAAACCAAAAAAATTACGATCACAGTTTACGCTCCCAGCTTTTGCAAATGACAGGGTGAGGTTTAGCAGTGTAATAAGCTACAGTCAATAACCTTGCTGCTTGTGTAATAATGCAAAAGCACTACACAGGTTGTATCCATTCTGCTTAGTCTAAAAATAAACATGTACAGATTAAATAGGACATACATCATATCTATACGTGATCCATTTATGACAAGCAATTATCTGTGCTGAGAAGAGCAAAAGTCCAGTTTGGACCTAACAAAATAATTCAGAATAAAGACAAAACCACATAAGCTTAATTATTATTATTTTAACATGTTAAAAATACAGTCACATCAAAATAGGATACACAGTTATAAAACTGTTGCAGATGACATAAGAAAATAGTGTGTATATATTTTATATATAAAAATCTACAGTATTTACTAATGCTGATACATATTTTGGAGCCTTGCGTTGCTTGCACAAATTGTACAGCTTCGTTATGAATTACAGAACCATCATTAAACACTGAGATTATTACACTTAGCCACAATATTATATACATACATTTCTAGGCTGCTGCAAGCAATCAGAACTAAAGTAAGCCCAAGTCATATTTATCTTCACAATTTTATTTTAGTTTCAGTGTAGTGCTTTGCTAACCGTTACTTCGCTGCAGTTCGCAATCTTTAAAATATAAAATTGCCCAGTTATTAAAAATTACATCAGACACGTTATATACACAACAACAAAAAAATGTTTTGAAACATACTAAGTAAATGTTACTTCCATTTGTAAAAATTGTTTTACTTCTGTACCTTAAAACTTACCGAGCCAACCTGCAGCAATAATAGGCACTAAAGCTCATTCTTTAAAGGAAAAAAAAAAAAAATCCATTTCTATGTTTTCAGTTAAATCTTAACAGAACAAAAGACAACAGGACAACCTTCCAAACCACACCAAACTGGTGTTGATGCCAATGTTTAGTACTTCAGTATTAGAAAAAAAGATCTCTGTTCAGCACTCCAAGGACCTCTTCTGGCAAGACCCTCCTGTGCCTCAGCTCCCAGGGAGGGGTCGGTGCCTCCAGCACCTGCTACGCGGCACCGGCAGCTCCCAGGAGGAGCATCCCAAACGTGCCACTTCACCTGCTTCTTATCACCCCCAATTCACAGTAAGGAAAGGAAAACACGAAGTAGGAAAGGCTGCAAACACTGACTGAAATTACTCGTGTCACCCACCAGGAGTTTCAGGTTCCTGTTAACAACAGTCGGGATCGTTTTAGTGTAGAACACCGCACAGTGTGAGCAGCCCCACAGCACAGCAGAACCAGGCACAACCCTGCCGGCTCTTTGGGGTAAAAAAGGGCAAAACAGAACAGAACTGACTTGACAAAGTTTAAGAGAAGGGACACTGCGTGCTCACACAGCTCAGGGATCACCAAGCCATGAGCAAAGCTGCACAGGAGCGTCAGGGAGCTGCTTGTTCTCCGACACTTGTGAGATTTGGCCCTGCAACCAGTTTTAGTCTGACAGCACAGCATGGCAGAAAGGGGAGGGTGCAGCACCATTTCTGTATCAGGCATTACTCTCACTCTGCTCTGGTATTTTGCATATAGGACGACATTCTGAAGGTAGACTTGGGTGAGAAGGTAAAAATTCTCCACTTTCAATGCCTTAAAAAAAAACCAAAACCCTCTAAACACTGCCCTGAATTTTAAGCACCGTTACTTAGCCAGATTAGAGACACATTTTTGGCTTTCTGCTTTTGCCTGCCTGCTCCTTCCTGCTGAGGAAAATAACAAACAGTAGTCAAAGGAGAGGAAATTAACTCTCATATAAGATTAAATTAATAATCCCAAAGCATCTCTCCTGCCCAGAACAGATACTGGGATGCTGAGGCAGCTGTATAAAAATGACAGAAATTCCCATTCAAAACGAATGGCTTCTCAAATAAATTACAAAGAAAAATTAATATGAAATAAAAGTACTTCACAAGCTTTGCCCAAAGTTAAATGCATTTAAACTCTTTTAGCTCTTTTCCATATGAGTTTGTGTATTGTAAGTGCACACCCTCACGCGCACACACACATCTGTACAGTGCATTAACAATGTCAGTCAAAATTAAACTTGTAAGTGTGTTACTGGTTTTAGGCAGAAGGATTGTAACACAAGTTATTTAAAAGTAAGGAGCGATGACAGCATGAACCACATGGTGTGCACGAGCTTATTGCTATGCCTGCGTGCATCAGATCACTTCCAACAGCTCCCATCCAAGCCCAAGAACTCTCCACCAGCCTTCAACCAAAGTCTGAAACATCTCTGAAATCGTGCGGTCATTTTTAAACTCGCGTGAACCGTCCACATTTCAGAGAAGAACTGAGGAGGATCACCACTGACACAGCGACATTCGACTGGGTTTGGTTCTTGCCACTTTACTGAGCACAGCCAGCTCCTCAGAGCAGCACAGATTTGTGCACGGACAATCCATCGGTTCTGCTCCGACAGTGCTGGCCTTGAGCCGGCGGGCTGGAATATTGGTACGGAGCTGAGCCGTTCTCCTCAAGGGCTGGTGAAGTCCTGTATCTCACCGGGCTATCCACGGAAACAGTAGGAAGACTGTGGTCTGGAAAAGGTGTTGGCTGAAAATGCTGGTATTTCTGGAAATTGTCCAGGTGGCCTTTGTTAAGGTCTTGGCTCCAGGGCTGCCTGTAGGGCTCGTGTCTGTAGGTATAGGCAGCGTCCGGCCACTTCCTATCCTCCGGCACGTAATCCGCCGGAGGGATTATGAATTTGACACCCGGGGAGGACCTTGAGTTGCCGGTATAAGCATCGACAGGGGCTACTTCTATGTGACCAGGGGCTGGTGGCAGAGGGTTTTGTCGACTGGCAGGATAGGAATTCACTGGTAGTTTATTGGGGGAATAATCTACCGACATAAAGGGCCCGTACGGCCTCCCAGAGGGGCTGGTTCGGCTCCCGTGGTAGTGCAGAGGGACAGAACCTGCGTTGCCTATACTGGGAACGTGCTTTGGAGAATTCCCATGGTAAGTAGGTGGATTACTGTAACATGGCAGTGGCTGTTTTGCATTCAGTCCGTGAGCTGGGCCATCAGACTGAGACGCGTATTTTGGAGACCTGGGTTGTGAAGCGAAGGTGTAATTATTGGGTATTTTTAACGGAGCTGGTACTTTTTCCATTTGCCTTCTTGGACTATTGGAATACGCTACATGCCGAGGGCTCTGGGGAAGAGCTCTCTCAAGCATCTCTTCAACAGCATTCTCATTCTCAGTTTCATCCTCTGAAACATTGTCATACTGAGATGCATTGGACCCTCGCTTACCTTCATCAGCATCCAAAACCCTCATCTTTTGCTTTACATTCAAAGACTGCATTTCTCCAGGACTTGGTGGCGGGCCCGAAACCAAATGGTTTACTGGCCTCCCTTTCACATCTGCAGTAAGCTGCATTGTCTTTTCAATTATTTTGATATCAGACGGTTTATTCCACTTAGGTACAAATTCCCTTCTTGTATTTGAAGTAGCATTAGAATTCTGATTAGCAGCTGCATTATTGTACAGGCTTGAGGTGTCTGCTGGCTCAGGCTTTTTTCTGGTATCCACCTCGTTCTTGGGCAAACTGTTTTGTGTCTCTATTGGTCGAACCTTCTGCTGTTTTAAGGAAGGTTTCTTTTCCACTGAATTAATTCTTTTTCGGTCATTTGATGAACCTTCTAGTTCTTCTTCTGTGGATGGTCTCCTCTCTGTCCTTGTGGCTGCTTGTGTCCCAGTGCTGTTCTGTCCATTTAGCATTGGAATGGAGTTAAGCACGGAAGGCTGAGGTTCTGATGGAATCTGCCCCAATGGCTTCTTTGGAAGTTCATCTTCTTTACCTAAAAAAAGAGAACAGGAATAACATAAATTCACCTTTGTGCAAAAGTCTTCTTTGATCTGTTGGTCATGCAAGCAAAAATAACTATGAATTAACAGGGCCTCTCTCTGGGTCACCATTCTGCTGAACACCTCAAAGGATCTTCTGTACACTGACACTGAACACAGATCTTTTAATGGCTCTCATCCCAACCAGTTATTCTACTCTTCCTTCCTATAGCTGACACAATCCTGTCAAGCTTTTGCTCTGTCTTGACACTGCTGCTGCAAAAAATGATTTTCCTAGATGACATTTTGGTTACAGTGTATATACTGGATATAACCCTCCTCAAATGAAGCAAACTGCTTTTCTCCACCTTAAAAATCCTTCCCAACGTCCCTCTCCCAATCTATTGTTTTCCATTCATTCATCTTTTAATGTTCACCTCTGGCAAGCTACACTATAAACCTTCTCTTGTTTTGCTTTTTGGTTGGAGCTCCCTATTTTTGGCTGGAGCACAGGTAAGACCTCGCTCCCCCCTAAACCCTTGCCTAGAAATTTCATCCTCACTATTAAAAAGCTCCAGTAAAAGGCTCTACACAGAATAATTTTCTTTTCAGTTCATCTTTTTATCAATACAGAGCAACTGAAGTAGCTGACACTAACACTGGCTACTCCACGGTTTCAGCCGAGCATTCCATGCACAAGTTTTGCCAAACACAAGGACGTCACTTCCAGAACACAAACATCAATGGAAAGTTCCCCCAGACTGGAGCTCAACACACTGCAATAGCCAGTGGGAAACATTAGTTATGTGGGGACCCAGAACAACCCAAACTGACACTACAGAAAGAATAAAGAAGTGTTTCATGGCTTGATGATGCTCATAGAAAAATTCACATCAAATTTTCCACTGCAATCCTTCTCCTTAGCAGTCACCACCCTTCATAATCTCAGCCAAAGTCTTTTATCATATCCACTTGCATATAACTTATTTAACTGTGCAATCCATTATAAGCAGAAAAGGTCACACACTTCTCATTAAATGTATTCATCTAGATTTAATTCATTTGATCTTCAGCATTTTAAAAAAAACCCACAAAACTTTTGAAGTCAGTATAACCAAACAAATCCTACTCACTGTGTATCTATTTATTAAGCAGAAGCTCTGTTGCAAAGAGGAAAAAAAAAAGAAATGGCTACCCTTGCTTCAACATTACACAAAATAAACAATGCAAAATGGCTGTTGGTAAAACAGTCTTGTTTAATCCTTCCTTCTACCTATGACAAGAACTGTAGAACCTTTTTCCATCGAAGATCATAGAGTTAGCAACTCACTTTCCAGCTATTTGTAATTAAAATTCTTTGCCTATATGGGTTCACAGGGGTTGAGACACACAGCGTCTCTCTCCCTGACTCGAGTGCTGTGGTTACAAGTGAGTGATGTTCATTTATACAGGCACGAGCCCGAGTTCCATCTTTGATGACTGGCTCATGATGCAGACACAGAGAGGAAAGGCAGCAGCCAAGGTCAGTGTTATTTATTGTAACAGTGTAACAAACTACCACCACGGATCAGTTGCTATATAAACTAAATGAAAACTCAGGAGTCTGTGCCAGCCAGGACGTGGCAGGAGGACAGCAGGGAAGAACACAACGGTGCCACGTGTCATGACAAGATAAATAAATAAAAGCACTTAACACAAACAGGCTGGTTTGGCCAAACGATTAAACCAGCCTTTCCTTGATTTTTCTTCAGAAGAGGCCACAGGTCATATGGAAACCTACCCTTTGCTTCAGAAATAACTTCAGAAAGCTCAGTTCACACGTAACTCACACAGCCTACCCAGGCTTTCTGTAGAGAACCCCTCCACTCCCATTTTCCCAGCCATCCTCCTCTCAATCACAGTCCTACAATGACGCAGACACACAAACCTCTCACACCCCAGGCACTCAGTGTCTACCCTGCAACCAACCTGACAAAGGCAGATCCTCCTGCTGAGCTCTCTCCTCAACTTCTGGTCTCCAAAGGGGAGATTCCCCACGTTAAATCCCAGGGTTAATACCCCTGGCACTCTGTACTCCAGGATGGAGAACACCCCCCAGACAGCACGGCAGGGAGGGCAGAGCCTCAGCACTGGGTTCCAAGGAATGGCTCTTGGAACTGCAAGTCTCATGTTTGGTCTCTTCCAATGAGGGGCCCTGCTATTCCCAAATCAGATTAAAATCTGGAGCATGGCTTGGCAGCCTTGCACACCACTGGAGGAAAAGAGGAGAGGACAGAGGAACGAGCTGCATGGATGCTGCAAACGGGTGATTTAACAGCTCTGCAACAACACTGACTGCTGCAACAGCCTCTCCAAAATCATCCTTTAGTCTTTATGAACAGGAGTTCACTTTCTGAACTTGCTTCAGTTTGGCAAGAGGCATTTGTACCATTTAATTCCATCTGCCTCCTCACACACAGTGTCAGGCAAAGCTGAAGCTCTTGTCTTCTAAACAAAAGTGAATTTTGCCCGTAAGAAACATTCCTGATACTGGATCTTTATGTTACAGGGCTCTCAATCTTACCAGTCTTGAATGTTAAAACAGCATGAAGTCTGAATACAATACTTTGTTATGTACAAAGTAAATACCAGAAACTTGTCATCTAAATCATACAGAACTAGTCTGTATATGCTGCCAATCCATTTGCAGCCTCCAGAAGGATCCATAGCAGCCATGGGATAGCATAAGAAAATGGCTCCTCAACATCTCTAAATTCTTTAATTTCTGTTCCTGTACGCAAGAAATGTTTTAGAAAAATTGTTTATTTCCTTCTATGCTTGAAGTTAAAATATTCTAGTTATACATACAAGAAAGCCTGAAGACCTCTAGCAGCGCAATGCTTCCTTCATTTGACCAGAGATGTTGAAAGCACAAACTCGTTTCTTTTCTTCCAGCTTTTACTCTAAGAAATGCCTACAGAACAATAGGAGACCCTTTAAATATACTTGCTTGCACAAAAAAAGGTGGGGTTGGCGTGAATTTTTGGTTCTTAATTTCACACACTTCAGGTTTCTTAATTACCATTAAGCTCTAACAAACCCAAGTGAGAATACTGCAGACATTTTTACTGAATTCTACCTAGACTGCTTTAAAGGTTGCTTTCTGTCACCTTTCCTTCTCATTTCAGGGTAAAAGGACACAGCACAACCAGGCATATGTGGACTGCATGGTCTGGATGATGTGTGGGGTAACATGAATCACAGCTGTAAAATGAGTATCAGAGAAATTGCTAAAAGTCAACATTAATTCATGTACTGAGTAACAAGCAAAGTGTTTCAAAACAGAAGTTCATTCAGGAGAAAACCTCAGCACGATACCACGTTTATGGGCTGGTCATGCCAAAGCTCAGTGCTTTCAGGGAAAACAAAAATATGGAACAGCAAGTCCACGTGGAAGGAGGGCAGTGGGGAAAAGAAGAAATACAGCTTTGAGTCTCAGCCACGGGGCTCCACAGAACTCGGTTTAACTCGACCTTGGACAGAAACAACTGACACAGCCTTGCTGAGTCACCACATCTGCATGTGGAAGCAGGAAAGGCCACGCTGGCAGAGGTACCAACCCAGGAACCCAGCACAGGCCTTGCTCTGGTTCAAAAGCGCTCGAGCTCTGATCACCTCCTGCCACAAAAACCAACCTGAGCTGGATAAGCACCCACGGTGCTGCAGCAACCAGAAACCCTGCAAACCAGTCACCTGCTAAAGGAAAACCAAACTGTCTGAAAATGCAAAATGGATATTTAATTCTAGTTGGAACATACAGCTCATACATAAATATCCATACACACGTGCACAGAGCTGTCACTCACAGCAAAACTATCAAGTGCTTCAAAAAAAACAAACAAAGACTCCTGAAGTCCAAAAAATGTTCACAAAATTAACCAGGTAGAGGATAACCAAATTACCACCATGCAGCTGACTGCCATGGGAAGTTCCTCAAATGCACAAGGAGCATGCAAACTGTGTTTGTGAATGCTTTAACCAGTCCACTATCAGCAAGAACAGCAAGCAACCCATGATGCTGCATGCTGGCAAAAAAAGAAAGAAGGTAATAAAAGCAAAAAGCTGAGGAAATGAAAACAGAATGGAAAAGCAAACAAAAGAAACCAAGTCACAACAAACATCTCTGCCTTTAGAGGCACAAACACAGCTCGCCAGACAAGCATGCAAAAGCACCAATTCCTTCAAGCCACATTTCTTTTATCTACCAATTTTCCACTCCAAATCTGCCTAAAGCCTCACACACAACTCTCAACCATTTTCTTTACTACTTCAACTAAACTCGCTGTTCAAACTCCTTAGATTTGAGCATGAAAAAATTTTATGTGGGTCTTTTCAAGGACATTGTACTGAATATCTGTTTGTGTTGTTGATCCAAAATCTGAGTTTACTCACTGTCTGGACATACCTGTCTGACTGAGAAAGGGAAAAATTACTGAATTCTACAAGAAGGATTTTTGGGACACGTGCTTTTCTATAAATCCATGATGTTTAGACACAAGGTTTAAAAGCATTTTAAAACCAGAAGTTAAGGCAAAGCTGTTCAGTTCAGCTGTGACCGTTCTGGCAGTGACCTCTGCAATCACTGGACGTGCCTTTGTCCTCTGAAGTGATCTGGGCTATCAGATTTTTCCCAAGTTGCCAGTATTCACGTGGGATGGGAATCTTTTAACTCTCATCCTTCTCTCCTCCCTTCTTTCAACAGAAGGGGTTCCTAGACAGTTTAGTTACTGGCTTTTCCCAAAGACAAACATTGTATCAGCTTGTATCAGAAATTACAGAGCGGGGACTGCAGGATTTTCTATTTTTCCTTTAAAAGAAAGGCAGTGATTTACAGTTGCCTTTTATGCAGTACAGCATAAAATAAGCAAACAAATAATATAGGGTGAAAAATGGGTAAGGAAGGAGAGGGAAACAATTTAAGCAAAGCAAGAAGAATCAGGTGCCTGTTTGTTGTTGGTAAACATACTCCCTGACA